CCTTATTTTAACAGGCAAATGATGACCAAAGGCTTCAGAGAATGTCCTTCTTCCTCCTGGTCTGTTTAGTTCCTGATTTGAAGTAAATTGGCCCATCCATCTTCAGAAATGACACCTTCATGGTCACTTTGAATAAACATGGTGGTCAATCCACAGCTAATCAGATGAAAAACCTGGGCACATCAAGTACTAACAACAAAGGGTATGTCAAAGTAAAGGGAACTTTTTTGACAGGAAAACTGCAGTTTCTGTCTCCGATAGCCTTGTTTACTTGAACCACTTTGCAAGTGCAGCCTCCTATTCATAAGGGGGCCTCGCTTTCATAGTATGAGTCTTTACAAACTGCTTTACAGTGGAGCCTGCTATACATGTACGTGGGCCTTTTCTAAATCTCAGCTTCTTTTCTGTTTTGGCTTGATATCAAACTTCACATCCAGTTTCAAATTCAAACACTAAATGCATATTGCGGAGACCACATCATTATTAAAAACACTCCTAATTCGGTAATTTTCGAAAAACGGATGCGCTAGCAGCAAAAAGCAGCAAGTCATCAACAGAGCAACTCAGTCGGGGACAATATTTGGAGGACTGCAGTTGGAAAGCCAAGACAGAAATGAGGCGGATTTAATTTTTTTTAAATGCACTTCAGGGTACAACACAGAAATCCGAAAACCAAATATCCAGACTTTCCAGGACTTCCAGGACGTCTTTTGCTATTCTAGGATTTTTTTAGGATTTCCCATGACTGCGGGAACCCTGACAGGGATAAATTCAGGATTCCACCTAATCCAGGCCCATCTTTCACATGGATGTTGATGCCGGGACCGTGGGAATGACTAATATTTACATCTCAAAACACCCCCTTGGAATGTCTGGTCACATCATCACCAACTCTAGAAAAAAATATTGACAAGCTTAACGCCATTGGCATGTGATTTACCCTGCATGCTTGCAAAAGCCATTAAGCTCAATGTCACTGCCGGATTGTCATGATTATGTACACATTTCCAAGGATAATGTTGGAATCTTTAAATATCCATTCTTAGTCAATGCGTTTTTTATTTCCTCTGTTTTTTTGGCTTGGCTTTCATCAAGTCTATTCCAGTCGAGCTGTTGGTTAAACTCACATTTCGCATCTCCAAAGAACAATTTTTTACAGACTTACATGTACATGTTTTTTTAACTTGTATTTTTTAACCTTTTCCTCGACTACATGAACCTTGCGGTTTTAAACAAGATTCATCCTTTTTTCTGCAGAACAATTTTTACACCCGCCATTAAAAAGAAATTGCATAAAAACAGAGCAAGAATTTTCCACATTCAAATCAGTGCGTGGTAAGTAAATTTATGGGGGGCCCATTTCTGCCATCATGGAGTCTTTTATTATTCGATTTTCCCCACAAGAATCAACATGACGCCTTTTTTCCAGAGCAAAAATAACCTCCAGGGATCACAAACATGTTCAGGAGGATCAGCCGATTATGATGAGATTCTGAAAATCCACTGTGTAATAAATACTAGGAATGAGGAAACCAGACTGGTGCAAAGTGATTTGTGTGGGAGTGTGTGTAAACTGCTTGAAGGCCTTTTGACCTCCAGTTATTTTCAGCGAGAAACAATTTCACCTCTCACTGCCATTTTCGAGGCCCTCCTGTAGCCAAGTCACACTTTTAGTATGTCAGCCTTTGTTCTTACACAAATGGTCAGTAATTGTCAAAATGGTCAACTGCATCTGTCTTTGGAGAGTCACCGTGCCAACCACAAATACGGTACACTTTTTTACTTGTTTACACATGTACATGAATACTGTACCTGTGCCCATGGATGTATCATTACATGTACAGTTAATCTCAAAATTATTCATACCCCTAGTTTGCTATTTTGTTAAAACATTTCAACTGGAGTGATGGTCAAACCAGGCACACAAAACTAGTATTTCCTTTGCAAAAGCTCATCCGGTCAAAGAGCTCATTTTTTGGTTATCAATTCTGTGATCCTTTGGTTGCAAATCTATGTCACCTGACTGTGGAATGGGTTAGGAATAAGTTAGGGCTTCACTGTATGTACCCACTGTCTAGACAAGGCTGTACCAGTAGCGAATTATTTGTCATAACTGGACAGGAGCCAAGTTTTCCCCAAAATAACTCTCACCACCAAATTTCAAAATGAATGGCCAACCTCTACGGAATACAATAGGAGGTTTACAAAAGTCAGGGCTAGGGATGAAAAACATCTGTCATCCATGGTCGATGAGAGGTTAAAGATTCACCACTGCTTGGAAAATTGCTTCTGCGGTTCCAGTAGAAAATTGTAAGGTACATGTGTGATTTTTTGGGCGACAAATTTTACAACATTCATCTGAAAAAGTCATATTTTTTTAGGTTCTGGATAGGGGACAGCATGTGGATTTCAAGCAGCATTTTAAGAATATAATGACAGGCATAAGCACAATCATTGACAGACTCCAGTGGTACATGTGCGGTAGGAAGTACACCGTACATGTATAAGTACGACTGGTTTTCATCACAATGTGTACAAAATCGTAAATGTAATGGCACTGAATGGCCACCTGGTACTGTTACATAATAACAGTAATGTCATTCCCATTTGAAACGTGACTTTGTCAGTTGTCACTGATTGAGTAGGCACTTATGTACATGTACATCGTCATTGCATGTAGATTAGATTGTACATGCCTCCTTTTCCCCTGGTCTTGGAATTCATGGGATCAAGTCCCACTACATCCTTATTACTAGCCTTGTCCAAGCATTGAGGTAGAAAGGCAGTCTCGGTTATTTTGTCTCGAAGACACAGAAGGCTGACATAACAGATGATCACCACAAGATTGACACCAAGATCCCTCTAACAGTGGCTTGACTTGTCTGGTTCTGAGTCCCTGTCTATAGTGTCTTTGTACTTAACCAAGTTTCATTTCAGCACAATTCAAGGCTTATCCCAAAGTCAAACAATCGGATTTTGACCAAAGTGGCAACACGCTTTATCCTGCAGTGTACAAATCTGATTATGTGACTGTTACACTTAAGCTTTTGGAGCTGTGGGGCAAAAAACTCACTGTAGAAGTTCCACTGTCACTTCCTGTTTGCAGGCTTTTTTTACAAAGGGACTTTTACTGACAAAAAAGTTTGCTTACAGTGACAAAAATCTTTGGCAAAGACTACCAGGTTATTATAAACTGTATAAAGTAGCAACACACAATACATGCAGGTGCTCAGCTACATGTGCGTATTAACAAAAAATGCTGGACTTTACAACCAAGACATCAAAAAGGTACTTCAGAAACTAAGAGCAACATCATGACATAAGATGACTGACATACTGAACACTGACGTAAATGCAGTACGCATTTAAAAACTCACTGTGTATTGTACGTCTAATACGGCCGTTTCACAATAGTGCGCCACCAAGAGTTTGCAACGAGTTGGCCAATCATGGTGCACGAAATTTGTCGACCCAATGCGCGTTTGAAAAGGGTCGACAAATTTCACGCGTTATGGATTGGCCAACGTGTTGCAAACTCTTGGTGGCGCGCTATTGTGAATCGCCCGTATTGTCAAATTTTGACCAACTGTAATCCTTTACATAGGAAACCAATTTGTCACAGCTGAGTATGAGTAACACTTCAGCTGCCAATCACCAAATGGCAATTCTCAGTTTGACACAGGATACATGTCTGAGCACAGGTGGTACATGTACATGAATAGTACACACACGTGTACATGTTTGAACTTATGCACATGTACTGTACATGTGTCTCCATCTTGCGGCTCAAATTCCATGTTCAGTGCATGGGAACGCTGTACACATTTGAGAAAATACGTGTACATGTAAGGTGCAGGGTTTGGCTTTGGGAACAAGTGCTTCAGTAGTTGTCTGTATTATCAATGTCTGCCATCACTGCCTGGAGGTCTCTGAAGATTAAAACTGAGCCTGGATATTGCTACTGTTGCCCTACATTCTGAACAGCCCTGTGAGCCATGCCATTCAAACAATGACAAACCTTCAGTGGATAAGCCAAAAGATTGAACGGCAGATATAAGCCTATATTATATACAACGTAACCACGCATCTGACACGTCTGACCCGATTGCAGGGTTTGGCACCTAGCAGTATTCTCTTTCGTGGTGCAGCAAAGTTGCAAACTCCACTCAATGACCCTTTTCTCTGAGCCAGACACTCCCCCCCCCAAAAAAAAAAAAACACAGCAAGCTTGTTGTTCCTAAGAGAGCTAGCATTAATCCACTCTGAACTAAGTTCTATGAATAAGAAGGTTTTTCCTTTTTTTTAACAGGCTGACTAAGACGGGGAGAAGAAGTAATATGTCTGTTCAGGTGGCAGACATTCACACAACTTCCTCTCGTGTAACAGTACACCTCAGGGAAGCAGCAGGCTGAACATGTTTAGTGTAGGCTCAGATACATCCTTATTTAAAGGAAGACGGAAGGTTTTCTTTACAATGGTAACAGGTTGGATATAAGTTATAACACCCTCACTGTGGAGGAACTAACTTCCATGGTCTACTGGTGTAAAACAAGGCCTCAGGGAAAAACTGCATTTGTTTTAAAAATATGATACTGTTTCAGCATGTTCAGAGAAGATTCTACAAAACGATTCATAAACCTTCCCTCGAACAGAATGTATTTGGTGTGACAAAATCCATGAGCTAAGCTGAACTGCTAAAATCTAAACACACTGCTGTTAGAATCATGAAAGCAAAAGATCACCACAGCAGCTCAGAAGTGACCTCGTAAATTTAACAACATAGTTCAAACAATGACCATTTCTATTAATTTTATGCCACCCACCCCAAATGAAAAATCCTCTCGCAACATCAGTCACCACAATGACCACGCGATCGACCAGCTCGAACAAGCCGGCTGGCTATTTATGTTACACGGTGGGGTCAGACTTGTAGTCGGACACTTATTTAAAAAATAATATTTCTCCGGCTAAAACGGTTTCGAGTTCCACAAATCACTCACCAGTTCCGCGTCAAACTCTGCACCGGCGCTGCTCACCAGAACGGCGGCCAGGGCAACGATTACGGCGGCCATACCGCGGCGGGACACGATCGTTAACTTCAGTCTTCCAGTGGTCGAAGATCATATTTTTTTCAGGCCTCCCAATCAGCCTAGAAGAACGCCAGTACCAGCTCCACCGAAGTTTTTAACAGCAGACCCACAAGTCAAGGTGTACGTGAGTGGAACAGCAGAGGATAATTTCTGAAAAGTCACTTGATAATTTGATTAGTTGATCGTTGAGTGACACAGCGAGTTACAATCCAAGCTTCTCGCGGCCTCAGTGAGCATCGACATTGCACATGGCATCTGTTGCACGCCTGAAATTGCTGGTCCTGCGCTGATGATGACAGCCAAAAGGCGTAGCCTCAGTCGACGATAGCAGGTCTAGCTTTCTGCAGAGATAGCTACGGCTGCAGGAATCTTTCAGATCCCAGCTGCTTGATCTGTGTAAATCAAGCCCATTTCAGTCCCAAAAGGGTAGCCAAAACCAGTTGTCCAGCAATCGTCACCCGTTCGTGAAGGGGGTGTCTCCGTAACTGAATCCCATTAAACAAAACCGGCAATACGGAACGTGTACTTTGTACGTCGCGATTTGCTCTAATTGGATAGTCCATTAGTTTTACAGGGGTGGCGGGAAAGTTCTGAAAAGGGGGCTGCTTACTCAGTTGTTCATCTTACGCACACCGACCCTTCAGTTCTTCTCCAAGTAGTCCCATCAAATAACGATGAAGTAATTTTTAGAGCATTTCTCAATTGTTCACTTCAAAATCAAAGTCTAAATGTTGAGCAGCTGGCAGGGAATTCCCCTATATTAAAATGGACGGAGCTACATAAAACAGGTGCACCGGTTGCACCAAGCATGTGCTCTCGTCTCTTTACGAATAGTTTTACAACAAACTTTTTTTCAGAATAGACGATACCTCAATCTTGGGGGGGGGCAGCGAAAATGCATGTGTTCTCTCATCCCGAATGAAAATACCAGTTCTGCATGTGTTTTATTCCTCCATGCTTTCACTCGGCAATGGAATATCTTGAACACGAAGTGAGAAAGCGGCGGGGAACCGGCGGACGCAGATGTAACCACTATTTGCAGAGCAATTACATAACACCTATCCAAACAAACCTCAGTTCGAATTCCTTTAGCGACGATATCATGAGTTTTGCGTGAATCATGGGTGATGTTTACAGATAACTTTTTAAAATGAGCCAGCATGAATTTGTACAGGATTACGGGAGGGGGTGCATAATGAAAAAAAACGAGCACTATGCTGCAGGGTCGATTTCTGATAGGCAATGCCACACAGCCAGACGGTTGACTTCCCCTTTTCGATAAGCCATTCTGACTTGGAACAACTCTTTTCTATAAAACTAACACTGCGACATGTTGTGTTACCGTTTGTTTCTTTTTCTACTTATTGAACTCTTAATGCAGGAAACGACACAGACCGCACTGTGCACGGAGGCCAAATTTACCAGACCATGTCAAATCCACTGCTTGGACAACACTGCCTCTCAGGAAGATGAGCCAACTTTTTTTCATCCAACGAGGGGAAACATTTCAAAAATGGCTGAAAGGGACGTAATAGGCCTACCCCTATTTAGTGCTCGAGGGCGAGTAAAGGTTGAGTTCCCGTGCAATCCGGGGAGCGAATATATGCACATAGTGTCACCGTCGATCGGTCCCTCTAAAAGCCCAGAATCGGGGGGGGGGGTCGATTCTGTCGGGAGAAAATAAAAAAGAATTATGAAATAGGCTTCACTTCCAAAGCTTATAATTGGCAAAATATTGAGCTCGTAATTTCTGTTCAAGTTTGATTAATTCGTACGAAATTCGTGCCGCATATGAACCTGTGTTTCACTTCAAATACTCTTTATAATAGCCAACTACGTGTATAGGCCTAATGCAAAATTCCATACTTGTCCCGAATAATGTTTTTGCCGTCTCGCATCGACAGTAAAGGCATGTGGTTTGTTTTAAATACTATCAAACACCCCCTCTGGTCCACTAAAACCACAAAAAAAGAGAAAAACCATTCCAGACAGCTATCCTCCGCTGTTTGTTTTCATCAATGCCGCGCTCAGATAAGGGTGAAAAGTGAATGCGGAGGTGGAAAAAACGTAGACTACAAAAGCAACAACAAGGTGAACGGCCCTAACGCAAGCGCTGCTGTAAGTTCAATTAAAAGAAATGACGATGGTGACATGACATTACCACTGCATGTCAATATTTATATGAAACGATGCCATGTTCGTCAACAATTGTTAGGATCCGATTCTCGGAGGTGGTGAAATATTTAAACACTCGCAATGACACGGAGTTCATGACCCAGATTAACACGAATCCTTTGTTCAGTTATTGCGTCTTCCTATCCTTGGCAAAGGTAAATTGGAAAGAACAAAGAATCGTTTGTTTGGGAAATTTGTAATTTCCAGCGTAAAAATGTAGAGCATCCGTTCTGAAGTGACTAGCGCTTTGCTCAATGTATGCCTTGCGTTGGAATCCCTGCGTGCACAGCTGAATTTGAGAAATGCAAGCACTCCTACGTCCCATATTTTGTTTGATCACAGAAAGGCACCTCTTGTTATTATGAAGCCGTCCGATTTCCTCTTTCCTGTGCACGCGATAAGACAGAAAATCTGAGGCAAACTGTAGGAAATTAGAAGTGAGGGGGAAAATTGTGAAGAAATGTTCGTCTTGAGGAGTGAGAGGTAAAACTGTGACGGAAACTTTCGGGGAAAAAATCCTGGAATATGGAGGGGACTATCTCGTCCGCACACACATCAGCGCGGGTAGAGGTACAATGGACCCCAGGTATAAAGAGGAAGTGACTAGATACTAACCCGTGAAAGTATAAAGAGGCAGAAGACAGGAGGAACAGGAACTGTACACCGCGCTAGGCTTATTTATTACTGAGTTGCTCTACTCTAGAAAAGGGAACCATACATACGGAGTAGAACCTCGTGCTGTGATTCAGAAAGGGCATTCATGACTGAGAATCATGTTCATAGGTTTTCAAGTAGCCCGAAGCATGCCCGGAGCTACCCCCAGAGCTTTGGGGCCGGGATTGTCGTCCACCGCGCTACGAACACCACACTGCTGGGGGGATGGCCAGAGCCCGACATATATTTTCATATCCTCGAAAATTTCTTTCACTTTTTAGTCACTCTTCACCATAATACACTGTTGAAACATTGTATATTCGATATTTTAAACCCTTTTACAGTGATCTTATGGGTTCATTGACTGTTTTTAACTCTCGCCTGCTGATTCAACACTTCCGAGACCATTCTTGGTGGATGACTCAGCGCTGATTGGGCTCAGTATCTGCCCCTTCAGTTTGGCGTGGGGTCCCGAATTCGTTTCGATCCTTGCGGTTCCATCTGAAAATTCGTCTAGCTGGGTAAAGTCTTTTATGTCTGTTTCCGATAACCCGCGAAACATCTGATCCCGCAAGATTGTTTTCATTACAAAGAAGCCAAACCATTTATAGTTGTTTCTATAAAAAATAATCACTGTCTTGTGTCTATAATATTGGTTTGCGTTAATTGTGCAGATTCAAACTATTTTTCTGTCGTGTTCCTTCAAAACTCGCTTTATTAGAAAACAAAGAATAATAAGGTTACAGAGCCGACCCTTAATTTCTGTTAAGTTACAAAGCTGTAACGAGTAATGAATCAACAAATTTAACAAATTAATGAAACAACATAAAGACCAAATCAGCTGCAAGGATCGCCAAATTCAAACAATACACACACATTAAAATGTACCCGAAGCAAACTTCAAGCTACCTGAAATTTTGGCCCACCGTTTAGGCGGTAAAACGGGAAACTGTTAACTTTTTAGAGATAAGAGCGACGATCCATAACAAATAGCATCTTACTCCATGGCTCGGCTCGGCAGAGTCACGTCCGAAACGGCTTTTAAACTCACGCGATGTGTCTTTATGGCAGTTGGGGGAATCCTTTGTTGCCATATCTGATCCATCTGATGAGTCATTCCCAAACTAGTGGCCACCTGTCGAGGGTATCCATGATTGACGAGTCTGAGTGCTACTAGTGTTTGCATCATCAACCGAGGTCATCTGTGTCGAGTGGTCCGACAACGCTTATAATTGCTTCTCTCTGCATGGACACTAATACTGCTCCCCTGGTGTTATCGATACTGGGTGTTCCGTCTTCAAAACACAACCATAAATTCCTCTCAATTTGTAAATGTCTCGGGGATGGATTACCCACCTACAGTCAAGAAGTTTGTTTTAGTTTCGGTGAATTGCATTTTATTACGTTAGAATCATACGATTGGCTCAGGTAGCAATCGGTGTTGACACATAGAAATCATGAAAAATACTTAACAAATTTATTTCAGTTTGTAGAACGATTACACTTACTCAGCAGCATTGCTGATCATACCCGAAACTCGTTTACCCGTCCAGGCCAGAGGCGTTCGAGTGCCGCGATAAACGCACTATGCATTGGAAAGGCGCCACCAACCGGTGAAAGTTGTTTTCACGGCAACTGACCAATCAGAGACGAGCACAATCATCCCTTGGACCAATTGTGTTGCGGATGTTGGACTGAGCACTTTCTCGGTGGGACATTTAAATGGCAACAGGTGCGTAGCAACGGCGTCGGGGAAATGAACGGACAACAGGCGCTTGGATGAAACTGTCACCGTGACAAGCTGCCCTTTGAATGTTTAGAAATCAGAACTCGTCGGAATTTCTGATAACTTGAAGGTAAGGGGGCGGTCAGTTTATTGAGTAAAATTTTCTGAAGAAAAATAAAGAATTTAGACTTGTAGTTATTGATTCTCCAGTAGTAATTTTTTCGTAATAAATTTTGAAATGTAACTCTCACGTCTACAACTTACAAGTACAACCTCCTTTGTTAACCTTTGCAACCATCATCGTGATTATGTACTCCCAGAACTGGAAGGTTCATACAGTTCTGGAAGTAATGATCACGCAAGGTACATGAATTATACATGTATCATGCTGCTACAGGTTATGGGATAGTAACCATGCTTATTTATTGCACCTCAAGTGGTACCTTGCCTTCCTAGCCTAGCCCTACTCTCACTCCCGCTCTTAATTAAGGATGGAGTGGGAGTGAGAGTCTGTGCCACACTAGTGGGGCTATGCCATCCCCAAATAATGCAACACCTTGAGGGTTCCTAAAGTTCCAACATCATTAATCAATCAGCCAATTATGCAGTTGATGTTTGTAGCCTGCTGTCTGAAGCTCCTGAACTTTGAAACCTGAAATCTAACGGTTTACAATCTATCCCTTTCCTGTATTAAATCGTTGTTTATCATTATTTTGTCAAAATTTTGAATGGCTGGAAAATGCTTAAAAAAAAAGAAGACTTTTGAAATATGAATTTACTGAATCAGAAATGCTTTGGGGAAAAAACCTCTTTGTTGATAACAATTTTTCATTATATTTTTTCTTCCTCAGGAGTCAGGACAAAATGAATAACCTCTCGCCTCGCACGGAGTCAAACAGAACAAAACTACCGCCTCCAGTTCTACCTAAGCCCTTTGTGACAAGGAATGGCAGAAAACTCATAAAGGATTTGACAAATGCGCCAGCTTCGATGAGACCAACAGCGTCAAATGCTGACCACGGTGTGAAGATCCTGCAAGGGCTGGAGCTCCAGCGAGGACAGGGGTTGCTGTGCGACACTACACTTGTCGCAGGAAATTGCCGATTCCGAGTCCACAGGGCCGTGCTGGCTGCAAGCAGCGGATACTTCTGGGACCTGTTCAATGGGGACAAGTCTACCGAGGGAGTAGACTTGAACATCAGGGAAGGGGAGAGGGAGGATATAGTCTTAGATAGAGTGGAGCCAGACGTGCTGGAGGGGCTTGTTCAGTATATGTACACTGGTTTGATTAACCTGGAAGATGTGAGCATCGATTCAGTTAGGAAGGCTCTAGGGAAATGGAAGGAGTATCGGGTAACTGGCTTAGAAAGATCGTGTGTTGATATTCTTAGTCAGAGGTTGCATGCTGAAAACTGCATACGGGTTTATCTCACAGCTTGCGAGAATAACCTGGAGGGTGTGAGGTTGACTGCCGAGGAGCTCATCATCGAGAATTTGAGCAAGTTGATGACAGAGGACAGTTTCTTGAGATTGGACTTGAAGGATCTGTTGGTGCTGGTCAGCAGTCCTTATTTAAAACTGAAATGCAGGCTGGCCCTCCACAGCGCCTCGCAAAAGTGGCTAGACCACGATGTAGACAGGATGCGGCATGCTGAAGAGGTCAGAGGTCAGGTGCTCAGCACCCCATTGCGTCTTGTGCTGGGAGACACGACGGAGCGTGCGAATGCACTGGAAAATATTCGCAAGTCCATGAGTGGTGACATTGACCAAGGGATACAGAATGGAACACGGGACAATGCTTTGTGGGTTACGAGAACCCACCCAACCCAGCCTGTCATACTGGCTTTTGGCGGGGAAGACAGACAGGGTTTGCCCTCAGAGAGGGTGTATCAACTTCACCCATCATCAGGCTGCTGTGAGCCCTTCCATGCCATGCCAATACGCCGGCTGGACCTTGCGCTGACAGCCTATGGGGGTCAGGTCTTTGTGGCCGGAGGTCAATACTCGTCGGATTCTCATGCCTCGGACAGCATCGGCACGGTGCACTGCTTTGACCCCAAAACCGAGTCCTGGCGGCAGATGCATCCTATGCTGAAACGGCGTGCCCTATTTACGCTCAGCACAATAGGGGATCGTATATATGCTGTAGGGGGGAAGAACGCGCAGGGGTCCCTGGCCAGCGTCGAGTGCTTTGACCCCGCCATGAATGAATGGAGCTTCATAGCTCCACTTGTCATTCCGACCTTTGGGCATGCCAGCGCTGTGCACGACGGCAGACTCTACACCACAGGAGGCGTGGTGATAGGCAAGCATTTCACCAACTCCCTGCAGTGTTATGATCCTACCACTGACATTTGGAGTTACCGATGCCCGATGGGTACCAAGCGTGCCCTCCACATGATGTGCGCGGTCGGCGACCACTTGTACGTGCTCGGTGGAAACACAAGAAACGAACGTGGGAAGCGCATAGACTGCGATGTGGTTGAGCGCTATAGCTTTGAGACAGATCAGTGGGTGAGCGTTAATCCCATACCGAGGCCGGTTTGCCTAGCTGGGGTGACCTCTCTGGGACACCGTATATACCTAGTCGGCGGTTACAATGGACGGCTGGCAATGAGGCATGGCGATATCCAGTGCTATGACACCCTGAAGAACAAGTGGACGAGAATCGGTCAACTGCCCGAGCCACTCATGCGACTGAGCACGTGCACTCTATCCCTACCCATCATGCAGCACGGCAATGCTGGACAATCTTCAGCCAATCAGCGAAGCAGGTCTGGGTCAACCGGACACTCAGACTCGAGCAGCGAGGGCTCAGTCTGAGGTTTTTATGAGTTAAGAACTTTTTTGACGAAAATGTTGCACATTTTGGGATCAGCACTCAGATGCACATATTAATGTTATCAAACTAAATCAGTTTTACGATTTCTCTGAACTGTGAACAAGTATCGGGGATATAAATAAGCTACGACAGGTTGGACCACTTAGATGGAAATTCAATCAATTGCACATACATACAAGTACTCGCATATCCACACAACCCGCCTGCGGCATAAAAAATGACAGATTTCCTGCCTATGCAGGAGCACTCATATTCATGTGCTTTTAAAATTGATAAAATAACCAATTTAACGCAATGTATCAATTTGACCACGTATAAAATTAATTATATAACGCAATGACGTATAAAATTAGCTAAAACTCAAACTGGAGGTACAGTGTATCAATTTGAAATTCTAATAAGATCAACATTTGTAGTCTAAATAACATATGTCCTGACAGAAAAGGCTAAAATCGAAAACAAAGACACTTTCGGCAAACACTTTTGGGTAGGCAATATCAACTTTATTTATTCACGATTTATCCTGTACATGTATTTTCAAGGAAGTAGGTTGTTATGGAAAATAAAATGAAATTAGGTGCAAACTCGACAGTGTGGGGACTCGAACCCTCAACACTTGAAATAATTAATTGAATCGTACGCAACATTGCATGATGTTTATGGTTGAACTAATCTAATCTTCAGCCTCCAGTTGGTTCCTTTTTTGGCCCTTTTTCTCCCAAGTTTCAAACGAGCAACTCCAAAGCCAAAACTTTACTTTCAATGGTCAGACTGTCATGCATGTATGCCGTCAAGGACTAAAACACCCAAAGCACTTACTTCCGGTTTTCCCTCAATCCAGAATTTTTTGACAGTGGCCATGTGATTATTTCCAGCATATATGTGGAATGTCACGACTTTGGCTGAATATATTCCAAGTTTTCGCATTCAGGTTCACTTGAGTTTTCCAGTAATAAATCTGCAAACAGATCCAGAAGAAAAAAACCAAAAGTTATCTTGTGAATAATCTACTTTTTGTGTGCATTCTGCAAAAAAAATCTCTTTGTAAATTAAGTTGAAGATAACTCTTTACGCTTATATGTACATGTGAATATTTTTTGATTCATTTTCGTTCAAAAAACTTTATGACAGACAGTGGTGTGTGGTTATTGAAGTACAAACCGACTTTTAACAAAAAGGTAATAAAGTGGGGGCATATTACCTCACTTTGCAAGCAAATTCTTTCTAGAGGGTGTTCACTCCTACCGTGTATTTTTATTATTCCTTCATTTTGCATTGAGCGCTTTGGCTAATTTGAAAGGGTTACCCGCTGCAGGAAAGATAAATCCCCCATCAATCCTTCAACCCCATCCCCTGCCAGCTTGTGTTCTGCTCACCCTGCTCGTCATACAAGACCTCCTTCAGATAGAGTCCCTCCGGTGGGGCGGTGTGACTCATCCTTGGGTGGGCGTTATTGCGGGATTCTAACACCTCCTTCACTTCATCCAGTGACCGGCTTCCCTTGCCCACCGAAACCAGGGCAGAGACCATTCTACGGATCTGCTGACGAAACGAAAACCATACGGTGTCTAGATCCAACAAAATGCAGTTCATGGACTTTATATAATCTCAAAAGATTTTCCTCTGCATTTGAGTTACCGAGCTGCAAACTGACAACATCCCCCAGTTTGGCATTCTGGTGAATTCGGACATCACTTATTTCCATTTTGCAAGATTCCATTAGGATCTGTCGGACAAATTCAGAATCATTTTTGGTTGGGTTTGGTTTCATACCTCATGTTGTATGCACGGGTAAAGGTTTTGATATCTGCAGTGCTTAACCACTTCACGCCGGGATTCTTTTGACCGTGACTGCTGGGCTGTGGTATTGCCCAGTATGCAAAGCTTTGTCCAACAGCAGGCCTACATTGAACCAGCAGCTGCATGATGAATAGACTGA